GAGAGAGAGATTCCAAGTACGCAGGAGGCAGGCAGAGAGAAAGGGGGAAGCAGGCTCCCGGCCAAGCAGAGAGCCCAATGCAAGGCTTGATCCCAGGACCCTGAGATCGTGACCTGAGCCGAAGGCAGAGGCTTTAACCCACCGAGCCACCCAGGTGCCCCCAAGAGTTTTTGCTTTAACGTCTCAATGAAAAGTTTTACATGGAAATCATTTCTTCAGGGTTTTGTTTTGTTTTTTCATTGTAATGTAGTCTAGTAATGTGAAAATTCTGGTACTCCAAGCATTAACACACCTTTGCTCCCTCAAAATGCTCACATTCTCTTAGTTTTTACTTCCAAAGAAAGAGGATATTGGGGGGTTGGGGGAGGCAGAGGCAACCACAATATAATCTGCAGACCTAAATATAGACTGCAGCTTACACAGGAGGGCCCAGAGGAAGTGGAGATAAAATTTTCCACTGGATGACCTCATTTGCCTAAAACACCCAGGAGTCCTTACAGAAGTACGGCCCTTCTTACAGATCTTACAGAAGATCTTACAGAAGATCTTACAGAAATACGGCCATTCTGTATTCTGGGCCAGCAGCCTGCAGAAGGGTGGTATGGACTGGCCCACGTTCATGGAGGAGGAGGGTCTGAGCAGGAGAAATCATTCCCTCCAGACCTGCGGAAGCATCTGGGACCCATGAGCTGAGAACAGCGGGAGGAGCCTGGGCTGGGCCTCAGTCGCACTGCTCTTAAGTGCCCTCCCTGCAGCTTCCCCGCAAGAAAGGGCACACCCCAGTCAGAAAGGACTGGCTTTCATATCTTGAATCCTAAAGACACAGAGCTGCTATCGGGGAATATCTAGGTGGGAATGAGACCGGAAGCCCTAGTGGTGCCATCTGAGCCCTTCTTCTGAGCTCGTTTCAAACCGTAAACATCCTCTGTCAAGGAAGAATCCACAAGTCATCTGGGAACCCTGGGTGAGTGAGCTCGAGGCAGCAAGGCAATGAGGATTGTTGCTAAAGGGCACTTTTTTGGAGCCGGTTTGAGTTGGCCTGTGAGATTTGCCTCCTAATTACGTCTGCTCTGGGTAGGGAAAGGGAAGGGACTAGGTAACAAATACATAAGGAAGCAAGCTAACAGAAAGGAAGGCTGCCTTCAGAAGCCACCCACCTTGTCAAAGACAGCCCTGCTTGGGCAGCCTCTGCATGACTTGGAGGGTCTTGGATCTCTGAACCCTCTGACTTCCTCCCAACATGAAGCCCTCGCATCCAGAACACCCGCCCCACCTTTGTCCATGTACCTTTGGTTCAACCAATCAAACAGCCAGATTTTTTTTAAAGGAAACTTTTTTAAAGGAAATATTTTGGAGTATAATAAGACCTATCTATCCTTTGCCCAGATTCAATAATTATTAACCCATGGCCAATCTTGTTTCACCTGCATTCCCATCATTTCCTCCTTCCCCACCAATAATTTGAAGCAAATCCAAACATTACACAGTTTCACCTATAAAGAGTTCAGCATATACATATATATAATAATATATTTATATACAATTGTAATTTACATATACATATATAAAAATAAGGTCTTTTATTTTTTTAATTTATTTTTTATTTTTTTAAAAGATTATATTTATTCATTTGACAGAGATCACAAGCAGAGAGGCAGGCAGAGAGAGGGGACACAGGCTCCCTGCTGAGCAGAGAGCCCGATGTGAGGCTCGATCCCAGGACTCTAGGATCATGATCCAAGCCAAAGGCAGAGGCCTTAACCCACTTAAACCACTTAACGCTTAACCCACTTAAGCCACCCAGGCACCCCAAAAAATAAGGTATTTTTAAAACCATTGTCACTATACCATGCTCAACCTGAAAAAGCTAATGTTTAACTTTTTCTGATTATCGCATACATTTTTTGTGTACTTGAATCAGGATCCAAATATAGTTCTTATACTTTTGACTGACTGTCATGTCTCAAGACAAAGAGCTGAACCATGAAACTATGATATCCAAATTTAGGGCAGGTAGCAGAGTGGCATTCGGCATTCTTAACTGGTGCCAATCATTAAACCCAAGCATTCATTCATTGATTCATTCAACAGATATTTATGAAGAACCTCTGTGCACCAGGCCTGTGTGCTACACTGGGGTATAATGATGGCTGTGATTATTACTAGAGCCTATATTATAGAGAGAGTATGGTGAAGAAAGCAGACTTTGGCCAAATGATCACACAAGTGAATGTGGCATTTAAAAGATTGAAAAGTGCTATGAAGAAAGGTGCTACAGGCCTCAGTAACATGGAGTCTACATAACTCTGCAAAACAATATTAGGGTCAACAGGTTGAAATGTTGGGGAATCAAATGTGGGCATAGTAGAGGGAAAAACTAAAAAAAATAACCAAGCATAAAAAGAAGCAGGAATATATGATCCATAACCAAGAGAAACACCAAGCACCAGAAACAGATCCAGAAATGAAACAAGTGATAAAGTTAGTAGACAGGATATTAAAATAGCTACCATTGCATATGTCCAAGAAAGTAAAGGAAAGTGTGATCATGATAAGGATAGACATGGAAAATATTTTATAAGACCCAACTGGACTTCTAGAGATGCAAAATAAATCTGAGTGGGCTTACACAGAAGAAAAAATTAATGAACTTGAAGATATAACAGTAAAAACAGTATTAGTGCTCTGTGACATAACATCAAACATACGTGTAACTAAAATTCAAGAAGAGAAGAAAGAGGGACAAAAGAGTCTGAAGAAATAATGGTTAATATTTTTCCAAATTTGGGGCACCTGGGTGTGTCAGTCATTAAGCGTCTGCCTTTGGCTCAGGTCATGATCCCAGGGTCCTGGGATCGAGCCTTGCATCAGGTTCCCTGCTCGGTGGGAAGTCTGCTTCTCCCTCTTCCACCCACCCTACTTGTGTTCCCTCTCTTGCTGTCTCTCTCTCTGTGTCAAATAAATAAATAAATAAATAATCTTTAAAAAAAATTTTTTAAAGATTTTTTCAAATTTAATGACAATTATAAACCCACAAATACAAGAAGACAAATGAAAATGAACCCCAAGAGTAAGAAACATGAAGAAAACTACATCCAGTCATATCATAATCAATACTTAAAACCAGCAATACAGAAAAAATCTTAAAAGCAGCCGGGGCGGGGGACAGTGGGGGGATACATTCCACACAGAACAATGATAATAAGAATGACAGCAGACTTTTCATCATAAGCAATTCAAGTGAGAAGATAGTGGAGTGACATCTTTGTTAGGAAAAAAACTACTAGCCTAGATTTCTACACATAGAGAAAATATCTTTCAAAAAAAAAAAAAATAGGGACCTTTTAAGACATATGAGAGCCAAAAGAAGTCACCACCAGCAAGCCACCAGGATAATGAAATCTTCAAGTAGGTTTTTCAGGCAGCATGAAAATTATATCAAAAGAAAATTTTAATATACAGAAAGGAAGAGCCCCAGAAATAGCAAATATGTGAGTAAATATAAAAGTCTTGTTTTATTATTATTTAAGTCTCCTTAAAAGGTAATTGATAGTTTAAAGCAAAACTGATACATGCACGCTGTGGTTCCTAGTATATGCAGAAGTAAAATGTATGACAGCAAAAGCACCAAGACCAGGAGCAGAGAAATGGAAGGCTAGTGGTATAAGGTTCTTTCAGCATAAGTGAAGTGGTATATTATTTCTTGAAGGTAAACTGTGATAAGTTAAATGTCTACATTTTAAATCCTAAAGCAACCACTAAAAGAACAAAAAGGCTTAGCTAATAAGCAAATAAATGTGATAAAATGAAATCGTAAAATGAATACTTATTTCATACAAAAGCAAAAGGGGGGAGGAACAAAGAATAGATGGCACAAATAGAAAACCAGTCGCAAAATGGTATTTTTAAATCTAACACATCAATAGGCACCCCAATTAAAAGGCAGAGATTGTCAGATTGGATAAGAAAGCAAGGCACAACTATATGCTCTCTACGGGGAATCCACTTTAAATATAAAGAACAATTTAGGTGAAAAGTAAAAGCACGGAAAAAGATACACTAAAACTAAACAAAAGAATGCAGGAGTTGCTATAAAATACCAGACAAATTTTAGAGCAGGAATATTACCAGGGGTAAGGGTCATTTCATAATAATAAAGGAGCAAATTCATAATCATCAGTATTGGTACAGCTAACGACAGAGCTTCAAAATACATAAAGCATACTGCCATTATTCACAGGCAACATAATTGAGTATATAGAACCCCCAAAAAGATGTAGAGAAGAACTATTAGTACAAATAAGTAATTTACCAAAGTCACTGGATACACAGTCAATATCTGATCTCTTCCATTTTAGCCATTCTGGTGGGAGTATAATAGTATCACACTGTGGTTTTAATTTATATTTCTAGGATGACATTTTTTTTTTTAAGATTTTACTTATTTATTTGACAGACAGAGATCACAAGTAGGCAGAGAGGTAGGCAGAGAGAGAGGAGGAAGCAGGCTCCCCACAGAGCAGACAGCCCGATGCAGGGCTCGATCCCAGGACCCCGGGATCATGACCCGAGCCGAAGGCAGAGGCTTTAACCCACCGAGCCACCCAGGTGCCCCTAGGATGACATTTTTTAAAAAGATTTATTTATTTATTTGAGAGAGAGAGAGTGGGGTGGGGGGCGGAGAGAGGGAGACAAGCTGAGCAGTAAGCCCAATGCGAGGCTCGACCCCATGACCCTGAAACCATGACTTGAGCCAAGATCAAGAGTCAGACACTTAACCGACTGAGCCAGCCAGGCACCTCTCCAGAATGACATTTTAATATACTTACTGACTACTGAGAAATTTTCTTTAGTAAATGTATAATTCTTTCGCCTATTTTTCTATTGGGTTGTCTGTCTTTTTCCTGTATTGATTTGTAGGATTTCCTTCTGTATTCTGTATATGACTCCTTTGACAGCTTACATATGACAAATATTTTCTTCCACTCTCTGTGGCTTACCTGTTCACTTTCGTTCCAGTTGTACATTTACTACCTTCGTGATTGCTTTGCTCTGCTTGGTGATTCTGGAACTGGACTCTGAAGATGATATTTCTCCTGTGCCAGCTGGCTTGATGATGTGTTTTGTCAGCAGAAGATACTGGAGGCTCACTGCAAGGATGGAAGAGGAAGAGTTACTTATTTTCTTCTGTTGATATATTTTTGCATGGAACACCAAACGGAGCAGTGTACAAAGGTCCGGGCTTGTTTACCACGGTGGTGAATACTTTCCAGCCATTCCCTTTGTTCCTGCAGTAGCTGACAGAGTATTCTTGAAGCAGCCATGACCCTCTTCAGAGATCTGAATCTTAGCCTTATGGGGTGGGGGGGATGCTCTCCTCCTAAGCTTCCCCCCCCCCAAGATTTTATTTATTTATTTGACAGAGAGAGAGAGCACAAGTAGGCACAGAGGCAGGCAGAGAGAGGGGGGGAAGCAGGCTCCCCGCTGAGCAGAGAGCCCAATACGGGGCTTGATCCCAGGACCCTGGGATCATGACCTGAGCCGAAGGCAGAGGCTTAACCCACTGAGCCACCCAGGCGGCCCTAAGCTTTTTTTTTTTTTTTTTTTTTAAGATTTATTTATTTATTTGAGAGAGAGAGAGAGAAGAAAGCACGTGAGTGGGGGGCAGAGGGAGAGGGAGGGAAGACGGCACCCCACTGAGCAAGGAGCCTAATGCAGAGCTTGAATTCACAAGTTGGATCTCAAGACCTGAGCTGAGATCAAGAGTTAGATGCTTAATGGACTGAGCTACCCAGGTGCTCCAAACATATAATCTTAAAAAGAAGGAAACTGGGGCACCTGTGTGGCTCAGTCAGTTAAGCGTCTGACTCCTTGATTTCTGCTCAGGTCATGATCTCAGGGTCATGGGATCAAGCCATGTATCAGGCTCTACACTCAGCAGGGAGTCTGCTTCTCTCTCTCTCCCTCTCCCTCTGCCCCTTCACACCCAACACATGCTCCCGCTCTCGCTCTCTCTCTCTCTCAAATAAATAAATAAATCTTTAAAAATAAAAAATATTTAATTTTTAAGTAATCTTTTCACCCAACACAGGGCTCAAACCCACAACCCTGAGATCAAGAGTTACATGCTCCACCAACTGAGCCAACCAGGCACCCTGAAGTGTTTAGACTCCCTCCTTGTTCACTTTTCCCTCAACCCTGAGGTCATAGCTGCTTCCTGCACTTACGACCTTTATTATATCTTATTATATCTAAGCACTCTCCTTTACCCTTTTAGATCACCTTTTTCCTTTTCTTTGTATTCTATTTCTTTATATTAAATATCTCTGCTCATGTTAATTGGTATAATTTTGGTCTCCTGACTTGATGCTGATTTACACTCTCTTGATAGTGGCATTTGGTGAATGAAAGTTCTTAATCCTAACATGCTTTGACAGCTTTGTTGAGAATCAGTTGGTTCCATATGCGCTGGTGTAGTTCCGGGCTTTCTATTTTGTTCCATTGATCTATGTAGTTATCTTCACACCAGCACCACACTGTCTTGATTACTGTAGCTGTATAATAAGGTCTTGAAATCACATAGTTTAAGTTTTCCAACTTTGCTCTTTTCTATGCTGTTTTGGCTCACTAGGTCCTTTGAATTTTCATATAAATTTTAGAAACAGCTTGCCAATTTCTATAAAAATGCCTTCTGATATTTTATTATGAATTTTGTTAAATGTCTAGGTCAATCTGGTTTGAACTGACATCTTTTTTTTTTTTTTTTAAAGTAGGCTCCACACCCAGTGTGGGGCTTGAACTCACAACCCTGAGATCAAGAGCCACATGCTCCAGTGACTGAGCCAGCCAGGTGCACCAAACTGACATTTTAACACTATTGAATCTTCTGATCCGTGAACATTGTGTTAGTCTGCTCAGGTTGCCATAACAAAATACCATTGACTGAGTGGTTTAAACAACACAAATTTCTTTCTCACAGCTCTGGAACCTGGAAAGCCCAAGATCAAGGTACGGGCAAGGCAGGTTTCATTCTTTTCTAAATTTTTTTAAAAACTTTGTTTATTTACTTGAGAGAAAGAGAGCAAGAGCAGAGGAGAAGGGCAGAGGGTGAGGGAGAAGCAGACTCCCCACCGAGCAGGGAGCCCAAGGTAGGGCTCCATCCCAGGATCCTGGGACCATGACCTGAGCTGAAGGCAAATGTTTAACCGACTGAGCCCCCCAGGAGCCCCAGCATTGCCATTTTAGGACATCTTTCAAAATGTTTTCCATGAACATTGTAATGTCCTTTTACAACCAAATAATCATGAACATTTTTATGTTATTATGTTATTATTATCTGACATTATTTTTAGTGATCATGTAAAATTCCATTGTATGAATAACCACAATAAAATTAACTTCATATTACATTTACATTTATCTTTTTAATTTCAATCTCATAGCTATCCGTTCATTGGAATCCCTTTTCAACTTTTTTCCCCTTTGTTCTATTATGTTTCCTCTCGGTTTAGGGTAATCCACGGATTTACTTGGACGAGCTCTCCATCGGCCTCTGAGATGTAGACCTAAACGTTTCACGACACAGGCCCCAGGGGGAGTCCTGGGGTCTGCTCCTGGAGCTGCTCCTCCAAGTAAGAGCCATTCGTTCCATGTTCTTCTGAAATGTTTGTTCAACCAACTCTGCATCCACTAAGTGTACATCCATCCTCCAACACCGTTCTAAATACGTGTGGGAAGCTAATTCCGTTCACTGATTTCTTGTTGAGGTTGAGCCCTTAGAGAGCCGTTTGTAGACCATACTTGGCATCTTCAGTGGACTCCTTCGAAACCCCTCGTGGATCCTTTGGGATCCCACCCACTGTGTGTACTTCACTACTAACAGCTTGCACTGATGACTTTCAGAGGATTGACCTTGGGCACCAAAGCTGCTGCACTCGAATTTAACACTTTCCCCCTGGGCAGCCTATGCCAATGACTAAGTGAACTGAGGGCATAAATACCTGGTAGCTTTGATTCAGGGTAGCAAGCTCTCAAGTATAATCTGGACCCCGGAGCTCCCCGTGGGATCAGGCTGAGTCTGGGACCTGAAATCTCACTTTTGCTTGATTTCTTCCCTTCCCTATCCTACTTCTGCCATTCCCCTGTAGTTGTCTTCTGACAGCCATTCCTTTATAAACCCTTGCCACCTGAATCCTCGGCCCAGGCTCTTCTTTTGGTAGAACCTCGTCTAAAGACGGCATCCAAAAAGCACTGTAGGCATCACTCAGAGGAGGCTCCTTCCCACCGTCACTCCCACTACCATCCCCCACCTTCCAGACCCAAAGAAACTGGTGTGCCAAACTTCAGAACAACTTGATATCTGAACATCTTTGCTCGCACTGTAGGGGCCTACTTAGCCAGAGCTAAGTTTAACCATCTCGGTTAAACAGCTGTTTTGTTGTTTGTGCAGTAAAACTTAAACTGACCCTGCCCCCCCCCACCCCACCAGAGGAACTTGCTAAAAAGCAAGTCTGGGAAACCAGTAAAATATGGTCAACCAGTCCCTGATAACAGAGCCCAAATACAAGGGCGGGTCAGGTCAGGTGGAGACATCCAATCAGTAAAACACACATACTATCTCCCTAACTGCCAAAGAATGTGGGCCCCGCATTTTGGGCGCCAAACTTGGGCGCCAATTCTGACCAAGGTGATAGGCTAGTTCAAATAGCTACTATAGGGTGAATTGTAATTCAATTGGCCACCCGTGTGTGACCTAGCATGACTATGCAACTTTCTCTGTATGTTACAATCTCATTGGCCACCTGTGTGTGGCCAGGCCCAACCACATGGCCTTTGCTCTATAAAAGCTAGTCTGTGAGGCTGGGAGGGCCTCCATAAGGGATAGCCAAGACCGGTCGGTCTGATTCTCGATGCTGGCACGAAATAAAGCTTTGCTTGACCTTCGCTTTGTATCAGTCTCACTCCTTTGATCATGGACCCCATCAGCACTAAAAAAAAAAATAACAGGTGTTTTTATCCACCTTACAAAAGAATTCACAACAGGTTCCTAAATATAGGGAACACCACTTGCGTGCTCACCATAAAATTACACAATCTTACCCCCAAAATTGACCCAAAGCAACTTTTCCAGAAATAATGTGTCCTATATAAAGCCATGTACTGTAAAGCAGCCCCAAAGTGGAGACTTTGAACTCCCTCTCTGTGAAAGTGCTTTCTCCTGGGGCCCTCTGGTGAGTTTCTGAGTCCTTCCCTCAGCCCCCTCCTTCCAGCCCTGAAGGGAGTTGCCATGGTGACCGTGGGCCTTTGACCTCTGGAGTAGCTCAGGCTCTGAAGAAATGCCTTCTGCCAGCGTGGCTAAGAAGTGGGGAGCTGAGATGCAAATGGCATTCCCCTTGGTCAACCACGCACATATTCAACTAGTTTAGCCTCCAAGATGTGAGGAAAGTACCCAGACAACTTCACAAGCCGGGGAGCTGACACCAGGCTCACCCTGCTACTGCAGAGAAGCAGCCTTAACAATACCCCTCACCCTGAGCCCAATCCAGACAGTCTCCGCACGCAAAGAAAGGCCATCCTCGGGGAGGCGGGTTGGGGCTGAATGGCTCTAATTAATTTATTATTGGAGTTCACGGATACAAAGAGAGGGTCACTACAAATGTAAATGATGCTGTTTTTATCCCAGGATCTAAAGCCACTTAACCAGGGAAATAAAAGCTATCTCACATTTGTTTAATTAGCTCATTTGAATAGAAGAGAGGCCAGGGAGGGACAAAAAAGGCCTGAACTCAGGAACTTGCCCACAGGAATCATTCATCCCCCCCTTGACAGGGAAGCCCTGCTGAACACCTTCCTCAGTACTTGTTTTTAAATATTATTAATATTTGCAATTATAAAAATAGTCTGTGCTCATTGTCACAAGGCAAACAATACAGAATTTATTTTAAGTTACTGTCTCCCCTCCAAATCCAGTCAGTTGAGGTAATCAGTGTTAACATCCTGGAGCATATAGCCTTCCATCACTTCCTTTGTGACCATTTCAACGTATCTAACCATTCCCCATCATGGCCTCCCCCTCTGCCTCACCTTCTTTAAAGCTGTTCCTGCTTCTCGACATTGTATCATGCAAACTTCTCCACATCAACATCTATGGATCTAATTAACTCTTTAACACCTCCATAATCTTCTATAAATACTATAATTTATTCAACAGGCACCCATTGATGGACAATTCTGATTATATCCAGCTTTTGCTGCTATAAATAGGGTCTGTCTTTTGTGTGTATATAGACAGAACTTATTGTATATATACGATATTGTATGTCTCATTACCTACATTGTATATAGCTTATATATATGTATATGGATATTATTATTTCTATAAGATACATTCTCAAAGTTGGAATCAGATGATGTGTTCATTTTACTTCTAACAGTCACCTTGAGATTACTTTTTCAAAAAGGCTTAGCAATTCACATAGTCTCTGTTTACCCACGCACTTGACAACACTGGATGTTATCAATCTTTAATTTTCGCCAATCTGATGAGTGAAACCGGTACTAATTATTGTTTTCTTTTGCGTTTCCCTGACTACAAATAGAGTTGAGTGTCTTTTCATATGCTTGTCGGGCATTTGTATTCTTTCATCTGTAAAATGTTTATTCATATCATTTGTCTGGTTTTTTTTGTAAAGTTTTGTCTTTTTCTTGTAAGGTTATACACTCACAATATTATTTATGTCTGTCACAGGTATAATCATTGTTAGTTAGGGGGCTTAGTACAACTTGATCCATTTTGTCCCTTCCCTGTCGGTTTCACTTGCAAATGTCAGCACTCTCCGTTTTTTCCAAGTCAATGGTCAAAGGAGCTGGGCTGGGGGAAAGCACGCCGACTACGGAAAAGAACAGAGAGGAGGTTCAAGTCACCAGAGCAGTGAGTTTGTGCTAGGAGGTGGGGAAAACCAAGTTGAAGAAAACTGAGCATCTATAATACTCTTATATCTGGTGGAGAGAGATGAGTAGCTTTTCCAGAATTCAATCTCCTTGTTCTGCTTTATTTTCTTTTAAGATTTTATTTTATTTATTTAAGAGAGAGAGACCACAAACAGGGAGAGCAGCAGAGGGAGAGGGAGAAGCAGACTCTTCTCTGAGGAGCCCAGCATGGTGCTCGATCCCAGGACCCTGGGATCGTGATCTGAGCTGAAGGCAGATGCTTAACCGACTAAGCTACCAGGTGCCCCTGCTTTTTTTTAAAGATTTTATTTTTAAGTCATCTCTGCACCCAGCGTGGGGCTTGAACTTAGAACCCTGAGATCAAGAGTCACATGCTCTACCAGCTAAGCCAGCCAGGCGCCCCTCTTTGTTGTGCTTTAAATGCTCCTCCTCCTCCTCTTGGAATAGAATCCTTCTCCCATATCCCTTTATCTAGCTCACTCTTACTCATTTCTCAAAACTCAGCTCAAATATCACCTCTTCTGTCAGCCTTCCTCGATCCACCCACTAGCTGACCTAGATGCCCCTCCTACGTATAGTACTATTCTAGCTCTCGTCACATCACCTCATAACCCCCTGGTCGGCTTGTCATTTCCTGTCCACTCTAGACTGATCGCCTTTAGAACAAGACTCCCTTTGGATCACCTGTCCATTCCCAGGGCCAGCACCTTTGTGAGTGCTTTGTTTGTTCAAAGAATAGCTTGTACAAATTTAGCAAATTTATATATATATAACGCATGATCCCTGATATCACAGTAGTTACCATCTAGCTGAGACACAGTAACTCAGTAAAATGGAGTAGCAACTATACTTCAGTAGAAGAGTATGTAACTGAGAATAGAAATGGGATAGAAGCCCTGGATAAGGGGGTACAGGGGAAGAGTCATGGAGGACGTGGGACTTGTTCTGGATTGTGATGGGTGGGTGAGATTAGGATAAGGAGTAAGAAGAAACAAGGGCAGCCAGGCAGGGGCAGCAATGGACAAAGACTGGGACTGGGAAAGAGGACGTGGTGATTATGTGACAGCAGGGAGGCTCAAGTGACCAGAGCAGAGAGTGTGCTGGAGGAGGAGGAAACTTGCCTGGGATAGCGTGTGGCTTCCAGCAAGGACTTTCTGGATTACTACAAATGGGCATGTTGCTCCCCAGATCTTGTTGGCTGATTATGGCACTCTGCCACATCCTCTAGAGATATGTTCACATGCCTCTGTCACTAAATTGTAAGCTCCTGGTCTGGAGTGGGTTTGCAAAATAATGCCCTACCACCACCACACACACACAAAGATGCCCATATCGTAATCTCCAGAACCTGTGAATAGTCTGCATTATGTGGCATTATGTGGCAGAAGGGAATTAAGGTTGTTAGTCAGCTGACCTAAAACCAGATTATTCTGGATTGTCTGGGTGGGTCCAATATAATCACATGGGTCCTTAAAAATGGCACAGAGAGGCAGAAGAAGGGAGGCAGAGGGAGCTGTGACTCCTGGAGGGGACCCGAGGGATACAGTGTGAGGATTCAGCTCACTTTCGGCTTTGAAGGTGGAGGAAGGAGCCAGCAAGCCAAGGTGCTCAGACGGGCTCCAAATGCTGGAAAAGGCAAGGAAGTAGATTCTCCCCAGAGCCTCCAGAGAGAAAAGAGCCGTGCAGGCATCCTGATGTTAGCCCAAGGAGACCTGTTACAGCCTTCCGACATACAGGACTGTAAGGTAATAAACACGTACTGTTGAAGCCGTGAAGTTGGACATGATTTGTTACAGCAGCAAGAGGAAACCAACAGGGGCGCCTGGGTGGTTCTGTCAGTTGAGCCACTGCCTTTGGCTCACGTCGTGATCCCGGGGTCCTGGGATCGAGTCCCGCATCAGGCTCCTTGCTCAGTGGGGAGCCTGCTTCTCTCTCTGCCTCTGCCTGCCACTCTGCCTGCTTGTGCTCTCTCTCTCTCTCTGACAAATAAATAAATAAATAAAATCTTAAAAAAAAAAAAAAAGGAGGAAACTAACACAGGAGGGACCATGTCTCGGCTGAATTTGCATACACATGTAACCTAGCTCTGTTTCGGTGCTCCCTTAATGCAGTTGCATTAAGAATTCCTGACTCAACATCCCTCCCAGAAAACATGCAGCAAACTCTATCAATATCCGTGGGCTTAGAGCCACGTGCTCTAGGTCATTTTGCTCTCAGCACAGATTTTGTTTTTGCTATTATAAAATAATACCAGAGCAAACATCTTTCTTCTGTTTTTGAAATGGTTTGCTTATCCTAAGCAGACTTCCTGGGTCGAAGATGACGGACAGTGTTGATGGCTCTTGATCCATTTAGCCAACCTACTTTCCAGAGGGTTCAAGCTAATACACACCCTTACTTGTAACCAAGCACCATCCTCTACCACAACTGGGCCCAGCAGGGCCCTCATGCATGGCCTCTCCACTGAACGTTAAAGCTTTTCCTGCTCTCATATCGACTGTGTAAGTCTGGGCCACTGAGCCTCACTGGGGCCCTCTCACACTGAGCAGAGATCCTGGACATTTTGCTGTGGTGGCCTTCCTGGTGGCAAGAGCAACTTCTCCACAGCCATGAGGAACATTCCTTAGGGATAATGCTGGTCCAGGAGGGAGCAACCTGACACATCCCTAGATTATTTTTAGTCAGCAATTACAATGGGATAATTTTTTTTTTTTTTAAGAGTTGCAAGAACTGATCTGCTTATGTTCAGGAAGCTGGTAATTTTCCAGTGTCCCCAAAGAGGCAGCCTGGGAACTGGGGAGTGACTGGCCCCAGAGGGAGAAGCTGGTTGATTTAAAGCTCTGATTCTTTTTCCCTCTTTGCAGTAGAGTGGGTGGGGTGTTTTTGTTCGCAATGACTCTTTTGTTTACTATGCTAATAAGAGCATCCTGGAAGCATTTTTGCACCTGCTTTGTGCTCACAGAACACAGAACTGCGGGCTTCATCTTCCTTTAAGGAATGACTGTCTTCCCACTTTAGGAGAAAAATCACACAAATAAAATTTTGCTTGCCTCGACTTTATCACTCACAGAAGTCTTACTGCACTTAGGGGAGGAGGATGTTGTTCAAGCATGGGGCAGCAACCAAGTAGGGATGGGTTCAACAGGACCTCCCAAAGCGCTGGGAACTGGAGGCTCCTGGGAAAGCGGGCAGTTCCCGTCTCGCGCTCTTGGAGTGCGCAGGCAGTCTGGTGGCTCTTTTTGGCCTCTGTTCTTTCCCCCTGCCCAGCTTTTAGGAGGCCGGCAGAAGGTCCGACTGCCCCAGAGGATCCTCCTGGGGCTCTGTCAGGCCCAAACGTACCTTGGTTTTGACCGCAGAGGCTTCATCTGGAGAATGGAAAAAGCCAGAGGTCTTCACTGTAGTCCTGCTCCTCCTCAGGCCTTCCCTCATGACTGAGTCTCCGGTCCCCAGGGCCTCAGGCTCCCTCTCTGTGAAATGGCCAAACAATCTTGCTTCCCAGGGAGCGAGCACACGGTGTGCCTGGGGTCTGGGGAAGAGCAACAAATATTTATAAATCCCTCACTGAGGTGGCAGCTGAAACAGCTGACGGAGCAAAGCCCGACCTCAGTCAGGTCCCAGACCTCCACGGGGCCTGTTTCTTCCTGCCACCTCCCGCCCGCCCCCTGACAGAGCAGGGCTGACCTCCAGCCTAGTGGTGGGGCCCCAGGCAAATTCCCAGCCCATGAATTTCCTTTGGCACTTTGAGGCTCCCCCAGGAGGATTCATGAGACCGCAGCAGGAAATGAGGAACATATTTTTAAATCAGAAGGGGAAGCAATGTCTTTGTGTCAGATAAGTGGCCTGGATCCAGGGCTGAGAGACTAGGGCGCATTTCTCTTCACAGACAGCAGGTGCTCTTCTAGATGTGGTTATGGCAACAAAATAAATGATGGATAATTGCTTTTGTGACAACTTGCCAATTAAATTAGACTCAGCAGAATAACATAATGACAATTTGTTATGCTCCGGTGGGCACTAACATACCAATCATAATTAAATGCTATGACTGAAATAGAATACCGCTCGACGCAGGAATATATAACCCCAATTCCCTCTCCGTGAAGCATTATAGGTTGAGGCTTGATTTTAATTTCGGAAAGATAATGGCATTAGTGCATATCCAAGTGGGCTTGTGGAGAGGCCTGTGGTGAGGGAGATGGGCCTGAGTGGGAAGACTAGGTCTATGAGGAAATGCCCCCAGGGGCTGAACTCCAAGGTCAGGCGGAAGAGCCAAGGAGCCACTTGAGGTGAAGACAGTGCTTCACGGGTTGTGGATGTGCCTGGTCCTGTCGGCCCAGCTGGGGAAGGAGAGGAGGAGGCCTTTGCTGACAGCTTCTGCAGTAACAGTGGCTGTGCTGTGGCAGCTCCGAGGCCTCCACACCGGAATGTTCCAGAAGCAGGCACATCCTTGAATAAGAAGCCCCAGTGCACACTTCATGACAAAAGTGCACTGAAGGGGCGCCTGGGTGGCTCAGTGGGTTGATCCTCTGCCTTCGGCTCGGGTCGTGATCCCGGGGTCCTGGGATCGAGCCCCGCATCGGGCTCTCTGCCCGGCGGGGAGCCTGCTTCCTCCTCTCTCTCTGCCTGCCTCTCTGCCTACTTGTGATCTCTCTGTCAAGTGAATAGATAGAGTCTTAAAAAAAAAAAAAAAAAAAAAAGTGTACTGAAGTCCTACTTTGTGCCAGGCAGGTTTCAGCATTCTTCATCCATAAGGCACTTTCTCCTCACATCCCTTAACTCGAGTGAGGAACCAGCCTCGGAGATGAGGGACCTACTCAAAGTCACAGTAAATTCAAACCCAGATCCTCTGTCTTTGAAGCCACTTTCCCTGTTTCCAGGATGTTCTTCCTGGCTAGATGGGGCAGTTATGTCAATAAACATGAGGGAAAGAAACAGCAGAGAGAAGCACAGAAGCAGGCCCAGTGGAGGTGAAATGTTTGCCCAGGTCTCACCACCTGTCTTCAAATACGTCACCCTCCCAGCTCCCAGCGTAGAGAGCAGCCGACCCAGTGAGGGCCAACCAGTGTCCCTCTGGGAACTTAGCAATTGAGCCACTGCGGTTCCATAAAATGGTAACGAATATACTCATCTGTCTCGGTCTGTTTGAGCTGCTATAACAGAACACCATAGACTGGGCCCTTCCTAAACAACAGAAATTTACTTCTCACAGATCTGAGGTCTGGGAAGTCCGAGATCAAGGTGCCTCTAGATGCAGTGTCTGACGAGAATCACTTCCCGGTTCATAGACAGTTGTGTTCTCACTGTGGGTCTCTTTTATGAGGGCATTAATCCCACTCACAAGGGCTCCACCCTCATGATCTAATCAGTTCCCAGAGGCCCCCACTTCCAAATACCAGAACACCGGGGACTGGGGATTAGGATTTCAATAGACAAGTGGGGGGTGGGGGGGGTACAAACTTTCAGTCCATAACAACATTGATTTTAAAGGAGCTTCTCTTGGGGGGGTGCCTGAGTGGCTCAGTCGGTTAAGCAACGGACTCTTGATCTCAGCTCAGGCCTTGATCTCAGGGTCATGAGTTCAAGTCCTGCACTGAGTCTACTTTTTAAAAAAAGGAGAGCTTTTCTGTACATACTATATATACATACTATACATGCAACAACACAAAAAGGGCTATAACTTAACTATCAAAAACTTGACCCAAACTGGATATTCTAATAATAATAAATATTATGCCCTCAAGTTTTCATATCTTTATTGATGCCAAGCCATTCCATAAAAGATTTGAAGTGGTTTTTTAAAAAATCAAGTAACAGGGTGCCTGGCTGTCTCTGTTAGTAGAGTGTGCTTGATCTCAGGGTCATGGGTTAAAGTCCTGCATTGACCTAGAGCTTATGTTAAAAAAAAAAAAAAAATCAAGTAAAAATCACTTGTTTGCTTTTTTAAAATTTAGGAGTTTCTGTAGAGGTAAAAGGGATGGTTGAGGTTTCCTTTCTCTCTCTCTTTTTTTTTTCTTTTTTTAAGATTTTATTTATTCATTGGACAGAGAGAAATCACAAGTAGGCAGAGAGGCAGGCAGAGAGAGAGGAGGAAGTAGGCTCCCTGCCAAACAGAGAGCCCGATGTGGGGCTCGATCCCAGGACCCCGAGATCATGACCTGAGCCAAAGGCAGAGGCTTAACCCACTGAGCCATCCAGGTGCTCCTCCTTTTCCTCTTTCTCTCTCTTTCTTTTTTTTTAAATATTTTATTTATTTGACAGAGAGAGATCACAAGTAGGCAGAGAGGCAGGCAGAGAGAGAGAGAGAGGGAAGGAAGCAGGCTCCCTGCGGAGCAGAGAGCCGGATGCGGGGCTCGATCCCAGGACCCTGGGATCATGACCTGAACTGAAGGCAGAGGCTTTAACCCACTGAGCCACCCAGGTGCCCCTCCCTCTTTCTCTTAAAATCTTTACTGAGGTTTTTAAAAAATAAATAATGCAAAAACAAATCATATAATACCAAAATGTTTATAATGAAAATCCACCCTCATCTGCCCCATTCTCCGACAATGACCACTGACATCAACTTCATGTGTATTCCTTGAGCCTTGCTCCCCCGCTTGCATCATCCTTTGAATGTGGAAGTGGACCTGAGTGTACAATGATAGGATATTTGGGATCTGCTTCAGATAATCCACAGGTGGAAGAAGAAGGTGAATGGGATGGAAAAAAAATGACCAAGAGTTGACATTGTTGCAACAAGGTGATGGGACTATAGGGGTTCATTGCACTATTGCCTGCTCTTCACTTTTTACGAAAGTGACAATTTCTACAATAAGAACTTAAACGCTGTTTTTTAACTGCTTAGAAAATGGACTCATGCTTTATGTAATATTCAACTTTTTTCTTGAACTAACAGCTTCTTGTGGACCTTGTTCCAAATCTGTACAACACAGATCAGCCCTATCCTTTCTAATGCCTTTCTCTTTATGGATATCCCATCATTTACCCAACCTCTCTTCCCCTGATGGATTATTCTTGCTGTTGTGCCATCACAAATAATGCCAAGTAAACCTGCTTGGGCATACGTCTCGTCCCTCTCAAAGGCAGCTTTCTGTATGATCAATTCCAAGAGGTATAATTTCTGGGTCAAAGGGCAAATATGTTTCAAGTTTAACTGATATTGCCAAATTATTCTTCAAAAACGTTATTGCAAGTTTCAGCTCCAACTATGTACCCCTTTTCATCTGCATCTTCCCAAACACTGAGTTCTAGCAATCTGGTTAATCTTTGCCAATTTCAAAAGGGAGACTATATCTCATTTTCTGTTGACGTGTGTTGTTCTGATTGTTGCTGAGGTTGCGCATCTGTTCATGCTTTCTCTGCCACGTATTTCTTCCTCAGCACATTGTCTATTCATTGCCCTTGTTTGTCCACCTTATTTCTCTTTCTTACTGATGTGTAGCAGCTCTTTATATATTATCGATGTTAACCTTTTGTCTATTATGTATGTTTAAAACATTTTCTTCCGTTCTTTAATTTTTTGTCTGTGGTATTTTTCCTCATACAGAAGTTGTTGTTGGTTTGTTCATATAGTCAGAACTATCATTCTTTCCCTGCTGTCTTCTGGGTTTTGTGTCATGCTCAAAGAGTCCCTATATTTTCTTCTAGTACTTTCATAGTTTTACTTTTTATTTTTAGATCTTTAGTTCACTTGAGATTTATATGGGGCATGGTGTCAGATAGAGAATTAAATTTAAACTTCCTTGAAATTCACAACCCATTCCCAATACTATTTAATAATCTATCCTGTTCTCACTGATGTCAAATGCTATCTTTGTCATATACTTAATGCCCATATATATGCCAATTTTTTCTAGACTCTGTTGTACTCCCCTGATTCAACTGCCTAATCCTATACCTGTACCATGCTGCTTTAATTACTGTTGCTTTGTAATACCTCTGATAGTGAGTAGGTAATACTACATCCTGATATTTCAAAATTTTATCAGCCATTCTCATGCATTCATCCTTCCAGATGAACTTTATTATCATGTTGTGAAGTTAAAAATAAAAACTGCCATGGGATCTGATTAGAATTCCCTTGACTATATATATTAAGTTGGGAAGGATGGTCCAAGACTCTTTGTGTGAAAGGGCAAGACAAAAATTATGCATGGATTTCTCACATACCCAGGATGCCATAGCCAGGATCCAGCATAGTCAGGATCAATTCTGGAATGATGCTGCCCCACACACCATGTCACCCTTTGCGCAGGCTGCTCTATAATCAATTCCTGCTTTTTCTTCCTTTTGGGTTCCAACTCTGATTCCTACCTGCCTATGAGTTATGTGTTTCTCTGGCCTTTCAACCACCTCCCATTCTTCTAGCACAGCATGGCTGGTCTTCTCTCTTGACCACTCTGGAATATGCTCCCTCAATGCAGGGGAGTGGTCCCACCCACCAAAGCTGGCCAGCAGGTTCAGGACTGGATAATATCCTCAATGCCATGGGTAACAAAAGGGAACTGAAGAATCTTCTAGTTCAAACTCTCTCCTCTGACTTTATTTCCATAACACAAAGATCACAGGGAAATGACCAGGGGCTTAGACAAAGTTATAGAATAACTGGCTGGTTAGGAAAGGCATTTTGAAATTTTTTTTGGCAGTAGTAACAACCAATAC